AAAGTACATAAGTAAAGGGCTCGGGTAAGAGATAACCGAGGCACGCGGAGACGATGATGTATCCCGAATTTCACACCCTTACGGATGCTAATCTCCATTTGGAGCGGTGTGGAGGCACAATGCTCCCCAAGAAGCCACTAGGGCGACCGTAATCTCCTCACGCCCTCGCACAATGCAAGATGCCGTGATTCCACTAAGGGACCCTTGAGGGCGGTCACCGAACCCGTACAAATGGCGACCCTTGGGGGCGGTCACCGAACCCGTACACTTTGGCAACCCTTGGGGGCGGTCACCGGTATCCGTCAAATTGCTCGGGGCGATCTCCACAACCTAATTGGAGACCCCGACGCTTGCCCGGAGCTTTACACCTCAATGATTGAGCTCCAAGCACCACCAACCGTCTAGGACGCCCAAGCACCCAAGAGGAACAAGCTCAAGGGTACCAAGCACCCAAGAGTAATAAGCTTCTCAACTTTTAACTTCCACGTATCACCGTGGAGAACTCAAACCGATGCACAAATGCAATGGCAAGGGCACACAGAGTGCCCAAGTCCTTCTCTCTCAAATCCCACCAAAGCAACTAATGCTAGGGAGGAAAGTGAGAGGAAGACCAAGAAGGAGAACACAAAGAACTCCAAGATCTAGATCCAAGGGGTTTCCCTCACATAGAGGAGAAAGTGATTGGTGGAAGTGTGGATCTAAATCTCCTCTCTCTTTTCCCTCAAAAACTAGCAAGAATCCATGGAGGGATTGAGAGTTAGCAAGCTCAAAGAAGGTCAACAATGGGGGCAAAAACGAGCTCAAGAGTTAGGGAACCATTGGGGAAGAACACCCCCTTAAATAGGTCCCCACGAATCTGCCTGTTATGTGCAGAATAACATAGGAGTGGTACAACCGCTATGAGCACCGGTACAACCGGTAACAGGCAATAAGCGGTACAACCGGCCCACAACCACCCAACAACCGCACCACAATAGAAACTAGTCCGGTGGTGGAGCGGTACATGGCCGGTACAACCTCCGGACCAATTCTGGAGCGGTACAACCGCTCCAAACACCGGTTGTACCGGTCAACCGGTACAACCTCTCTAAGGGGCGGTACAACCTCTCTATGTAAAACATGCAATATCAGAACAGCCACAACTTTCACATACGAGCTTCGAATTCGATGAAACCAAGTTTGTTGGAAAGCTAGCAACAAGGGCTAACACAATCTTGAAAGAAATATCAATAAGAAGCAAATTAGACAAGGCTCATAAGAAAAAGGTGAGAACCCTTCCTCGGATAAGACCGGTAAAACCTCCAACACCAAAAACATCATAGAAGACGCATGCGAACTCCGTTTTCGATGAACTCAAGCTTGTCATCAAGATGACCATAAGCTCTCAGACTCACAAAGAGAACCAAGCAAGAACCAAGAAAGAAGATGCAAGGATGCAATGGTTTGAGCTCTCTACGAATGATACGACCAAGCTACTCATCGAGAGCCCCCCTTGATAGTACGGCAATCGATCCTATAACCCGGTCTCCCAACTACCACCATGAGACTGGTAAAAGAGAAAACATATCAAGGGCAAACCTTTGCCTTGCACATGGTCCACTTGAGCTAGATGATGACGATCTTGACTCCCTCAAGTTGGACCACCTTTCTTGATTGCGTTGGCTCGATGAAGACTAGATGATTGCTCCCCCATAGTCCACTATGGGTGAGCCTCTCTTCGGCACATCTTCACAAGACCATTGATACCACAAAGGATGGCAAGATTCAAGCACTTGATCTCTTTGTGATGCTCCACTTGAACTTGCACACGGCAATCATGATGACGATCACCACTTGATGTCATCCTTTCCATGGGTTGTATGATATCTTCCTCTTGACGCAAGCCCATGGACACGTACCTAACCCCACACAGAACTCACACATAGACCATGGGTTAGTACACAAAGTGCAATGAACAATGCTTACCATACCATGGGATCACTTGATCCCTCTCGGTACATCTTCTACGCTTTGTGAGTTGATCAACTTGATTCACTCTTGACTTAGTCTTGATCAACCTTGAATCTTTCCAACTCTCTTCATTTGGATAATGTCTTGAAGGTAAACATGAATGATCACACAATCTTCTTCTTTGAGACATGCTTGCAATAAGCTTAACACTCACATGACCAATCTTTGGATAATTCCTTAATAGCACATTGGTCAACTCATAAACTCCTTGAAACCAACACATGGACTTCAAGAAAAACCTATGGACAAATCCTTCAAATATAACTCAAGAAAACCATTAGTCCATAGAGATTGTCATCAATTACCAAAACCAAACATGGGGGCACCACATGTTCTTACACCTTCTCTCCGGTTGTCAAACCCACCACGGTCCGTGTTGTCCTCCAGTTGTCCGCCTCTCGTTGTTGGCCCGTACATCAGCTCGACATCAACAACGCCTTTTTGTACGGCCATCTTCAGGACCGGGTTCTCTGTCAGCAGCCGGCCGGGTTCGTTGACCCTCAACGTCCGGATGATGTCTGCCTATTGTCACGGTCGTCATACGGCCTCAAACAGGCTCCGCACGCGTGGTACCAGTGCATCGCGGTGTTCCTCAGTCTTCTCAGGTTTCGCACCACCACCTCTGACACGTCATTGTTCGTGCTCTATCGGTCTGATCATGTGGCTATGCTTCTACTCTACGTCGATGATATTGTCATCACTACCTCCCGAGAGGATCTTCTTCGCGACATCATTGGTCGTCTTCGCTCTGAGTTTCGGCTGAAGGACCTAGGCGCGTTGCACTCTTCCTCGACATTAATGTGCGACACGATGCCTCTGGGTTCTTCCTTCACCAGGGACAGTATGTTCTTGATCTTCTGGATCGTGCCGGCATGACTGACTGCAAGCCGGCCGCCACGCCTGCCGAGGCCAAACCGAAGCTCTCCGCCACCGCTGGCCAGCCCGCTGCTGACGCCGCCCTCTACCGGAGCATTGTTGGCGCCCTTCAGTACCTTACGCTCACCAAGCTAGATATCCAGTTTGCCGTGCAGCAAGTTTGCTTGCATATGCACTCGCCCCGTGATGTTCACTGGTCCTTGGTCAAGCGCATTCTTCGGTACGTTCGCGGCACGCCAACCTACGGTCTTCGTCTCCGCGCCTCCGCCTCGACTGAGCTTATTGCTTACACTGACACAGATTGGGCTGGTTGTCCTGACACTCGATGCTCCACGTCTGGATATTGTGTCTTCTTCCGTTACTCTCTTGTCTCTTGGTCCTCTAAACGGCAGCCTAACGTCTCCCGTTCGAGTGCCGAGGCCGAGTACCGAGCTATTGCCAACGTGGTCGCGTAGACTTGTTGGCTTCGTCACCTTCTTGGTGAGCTTCAGATTCCACTTCGGAAAGCCAATGTGGTCTTCTGTGGTAACGTGTCGGCCACCTACCTCGCGGCTAATCCGGTGCAGCACAAGCGCACCAAACACATTAAGCTCGATGTTCACTTTGTGCGCGAGAAGGTTCAGTTGGGTCAGCTTCGAGTTCTTCATGTACCGACTACCCAACAGTTCGCCGACATCATGACCAAGGGGTTGCCAACTGCTGCATTCCAGGAGTTCCGTTCCAGTCTTTGCATCACCGACGCCGACGCT